CTGATGCAGGCTGAGGCTGAGGCAGGCTGAGGCTGAGGCCGAGGCTGAAGGCAGACTGAGGCTGAGGCTGAAGCAGGCTGAGGCTGAGGCTGAGGCAGGCTGAGGCTGAGGCTGAGGCAGGCTGATGCTGAGGCAGGCTGAGGCTGAGCTGAGGCTGATGCAGGCTGAGGCTGAGGCAGGCTGAGGCTGAGGCCGAGGCTGAAGGCAGACTGAGGCTGAGGCTGAAGCAGGCTGAGGCTGAGGCAGAGGCAGGCTGAGGCTGAGGCTGAGGCAGGCTGATGCTGAGGCAGGCTGAGGCTGAGGCTGAGGCTGATGCAGGCTGAGGCTGAGGCAGGCTGAGGCTGAGGCCGAGGCTGAAGGCAGACTGAGGCTGAGGCTGAAGCAGGCTGAGGCTGAGGCTGAGGCAGGCTGAGGCTGAGGCTGAGGCAGGCTGATGCTGAGGCAGGCTGAGGCTGAGGCTGAGGCTGATGCAGGCTGAGGCTGAGGCAGGCTGAGGCTGAGGCCGAGGCTGAAGGCAGACTGAGGCTGAGGCTGAAGCAGGCTGAGGCTGAGGCTGAGGCAGGCTGAGGCTGAGGCTGAGGCAGGCTGATGCTGAGGCAGGCTGAGGCTGAGGCTGAGGCTGATGCAGGCTGAGGCTGAGGCAGGCTGAGGCTGAGGCCGAGGCTGAAGGCAGACTGAGGCTGAGGCTGAAGCAGGCTGAGGCTGAGGCTGAGGCAGGCTGAGGCTGAGGCTGAGGCTGAGGCAGGCTGAGGCTGAGGCTGAGGCTGAGGCTGAGGCTGAGGCAGGCTGAGGCTGAGGCAGGCTGAGGCTGAGGCCGAGGCTGAGGCAGGCCCTGAGGCTGAGGCTGAGGCAGGCTGAGGCTGAGGCTGAGGCTGAGGCAGGCTGCTGAGGCTGAGGCTGAGGAGAGGCTGAGGCTGAGGCTGAGGCTGAGGCTGAGGCTGAGGCTGAGGCTGAGGCTGATGCAGGCTGAGGCTGAGGCTGAGGCTGAGGCTGAGGCCTGAGGCTGAGGCCGAGGCGAGGCAGACTGAGGCTGAGGCTGAAGCAGGCTGAGGCTGAGGCTGAGGCAGGCTGAGGCTGAGGCTGAGGCAGGCTGATGCTGAGGCAGGCTGAGGCTGAGGCTGAGGCTGATGCAGGCTGAGGCTGAGGCAGGCTGAGGCTGAGGCCGAGGCTGAAGGCAGACTGAGGCTGAGGCTGAAGCAGGCTGAGGCTGAGGCTGAGGCAGGCTGAGGCTGAGGCAGGCTGAGGCTGAGGCTGAGGCTGAGGCTGAGGCTGTGACTGCGACTGCCGTTGCCACCGCGACTGTCATCGCGAATGCGACTACGACTGCGAGAACAGCAGAATTCTACAACTGGATTCTCATCTGGATCTTAAGGGGAATGCTTCCAGATATGCTCCTACACATCGCTGTTAGGTTGCTTTGCTGGGATAATTTCCACCTTCCCTTCGCGCCTGCGTAACCGTTTCATCAAACCGCCCGCTCAGCCCTCGGCCCTTGACCACTGTGCTGAATGGCGAGGCAGTTGGCGATCTCCTCAGATAGTTGCTCCAGGTTGACAGGGCAACGATGCAATTGCAGAACTGTCGTGTTTCTGGTAGCCATCCAGTACCAGCCTGTAGTATCTGCCCTCGTCACCATGTCGGTGCCTTCGGCATGCTACGCATCGGCCCATCTTGGCAGCAGATTTCGCCCGCAGCCACCGGCCTTAGGTCGGGCGGTAGCTGCGGTCGCGATCTTGGCCCGCGCGCGAGACGACGAAGCCCGTGGCACTGCGACATTACTGGCATCATCACTCGCCGCATCCCTTCGCGCCTACGCCGGCGTTTGGTGGCCCGACCAGTCTGGTTCCTGGTGTAGTGTCCTTGTGAAATGCTCAACTGGCAAAGCAGGTGTGACGGTGTATACGAATTTATTTATTTTCTTGTTATTGTCCACCATCTGAAGCGATGCAGGTTTGTGAGGTCGTCGGCTCCATTGCATATTTGTTTACCAGCGGAACCCTCGTAGCGCATGGTCGTTGAGCGCGCGGTGTCAATCATGGTGGATCCAGTCCCAGCGCCGCCATCGTGGTTTTAGCCATTCGGAGAAGCTCAGAAGCCTCGAGCCCGCCCACTGCATGTTCCAGTCAGCACCTGTCAGGCACGGGGCTTTGATGCGAAAGATGCAGGTCAATCTTCGCAAGGATGTCACTGTTGATCCTTGTCGCGTCGATGGGGTCCTCGAGTTGCGCATTTATCAATGTCTCACAGGCCATCCAGGAAGCTTCGCTAACACGTGCTGGCATCTCTGTGCTATCCCTTGGTGCTCGCGCTCATCTGGTGACCTTAGTCTCAGGTTATTGCGAGCCAATGCTGCAACGCCAACAGATGGCGTATCCCTGCTTGTCGACTTAGCCGGGAGTGCCATCATTTTCCACCCTCGCGAAGCTGTCCAAGAGAAATACATATTCCAAATCGTCAGCACGGGACCCTATCTCCTGCAACAGCAACGTGTGATGAAGATCTCTTGGTCTTGTCTTGAACCGTTGTCTTACCACCATTGCCATTGAAAAGGCTCGAGGGTGTACATATTTTTGGCCTCGGGGCTGGGGCTCGTCTTCGTGCGTCCTTAGGTAATTGGCAAACCTATGACACGGACGTCGACGAACTCGGTAACGACTCCCCTCCCGTTGCACACCCAGTCATACTCATCAGGATACACGATGTTCCTTTGGAAGCTCACGAAGGCATCCAGTGAACTCGCTGAAATCGGCATCCTTGCTGCACTCAAAGAGCTCTTGTTTCTCATGCTCGTTGAGTTCATCGAGAGCTCTCTTGGCAGCTCTTCCCGGTCCTTCACGCGATCCATCAGTATCGTCGTGATGACCTTGCCCAGCAGCGTGAGGTTTATGAACAGGCTTTAACATGCTTTCTCTGACCACCTCCAAGACGACTTCCTTACCTGCGATCACTGTGCCGATCCGCGGAAGCTCTTGATAGTGTTGTCGTGAACGTTTGTGGGGCAAGTGTCGAACTCCACGTCCATTGGCTGCTCCTCATCTGCCTCATCCTTGTTCTCGGCAATGGCAGCCGTCGTGCGCTTGTATTCGGCTTCAGGGGTTGTGACTTAAGGTTTCTGAGCCTCGAATCGTATTGCCCTCGCCCCCAGAGATTCCTTAAGAGGTTACATCTTCTTATTCCTCAATCCGTGCTAGCACTGAACGGGCCCTACCGGATCTTGAAGGATTTGGCGCAAGGGGGCGGCCGATTTCGGTAGGCCGCCGGGTTCCCAGGTTCCCGGTTTCGGTTTACTGGGTTCCTGGTTCCCGGTTCTGGGCCGATTTCGTTGGGCTGCGGAGTTCCCAGGTTTTTGGGCTCCCGGATTCCTGATCGATATCTTTATCGATCTGTCTCATCATCGATATCATTACCCACCTCTCTATCGATCTCACTACCGTTCTCACAACCGATCTGACTATCGACCTCACAAGCGATCGAACCATAGATCGCACGAGCGATCTCACGATCGATATCATTCTCGATCTCACGGAATCGACTTCACTATCGGTTTCACGATCGACATTATTATCGTCCTCACTATCGATCCTTCTTTCGATATCACTATCGATCCTATAATCGATCTCGATGTCCATATCATTAATTTTCAAATTACACCAGAGAAAATACCCAATCAGTGGATGGTTTTCGCTGAGGAGATGGACCGGGAGCCGAGGAGCCCGGGAACCCAGAACCCACCGAAATCGGCCCGGAACCAATAGCCGGGAACTCGGGAACCCGGAACAGGGAACCCGGGAACCCAGCCTGCTACCAAAATCGCCGGGAAATTTTCGCCAAATTTTCCAATTTCCGCTAGGACCCCTTCAGTGCAAGCAGTGATTGGGGAATCATCAACTGATATGGTTTTCTCGGGTAATTTTTTTTGATCAATCGCAGTCTGCATTTTGTACCTCTGGAGCCGCGCCTTGTGAAGGTCCCGCGCCGTCCTGCCGTACGCAATTTCGTGTGTGCGCAATGCCTTTTGCTGGTCACGAATCTCCTTGATCTTCTTGATTCTCGCCTGGCGGATCGGGTCATCACTGTGGCCGGGCACATTCTTGAGCGCATTCTCGTACACTGACAGCCGGGAGGCGAGCTTCTCCCTATTGGTCTTGTCATCATCACATTCGGCAGTGAAGCTTGCATGCATTGGGCTCGGTTCAGCAGCGGGTGCGCTCCACGGTGGCGGCTTCGCTGGCTTGGCCTGCCTAGCCCCGTTTGACGGCGCCTCCTTTATGATGTAGACCCGGAGTAGCTTCTCCAATTCGGCAAGCTCCTTGGTAGTGTCATCCTTTTTTTACACTTGTCTTGTGAGGCGAAGCCTTGTCCTCCTGGATGATAGCCCTGTGCTTTTCCCAGGCCAGCTTGATCCAAAGTGGTGCTTCGTTTCCAAACTGACAGCGGACTCTAGGTGCCCAGTTCGCGCTGGCCGAGCATCTGCCGCATCCCGATGTAAGCCGCCGCGGCCCGCGGAGCACCGCGGGGTCAGGCGGCGGGGCAGGCACCATGGCGGTGGCGCCCGCTTCGTCTGTCCCGATCTCGCCTCCGAAGGGAGGCAGAACGCGTGTCAACGCCACAAGGCTCACTGCAGCGGTGCCGTTCTGAACACGACTGCAGCAAGCGCAAACCTGCGCCAGAACGTCAAGGGAGGAGGGAGGATGGAGGAAGGGAGGCAGGAAGAGGGAGGAGGGAGGAGGAAGGAGGGAGGAAGGAGGAGGGATGAGGGAGAAAGGAGGAGGGAGGAGGGAGGAGGGAGGATGGAATGAGACGGAGGAGACGGAAGAGAAGAAGGAGGAGGAGGAGGAGGAGGAGGAGGAGGAGGAGGGAGGAGGAGGAGGAGGGAGGAGGAGGAGGAGGAGGAGGAGGAGGAGGAGCCCAGGTCCTTGAGCCCAGGCCCGCGCCTTCAGCCAAGGGGGCCCGAAAACCCAGATCCGCGCCATCGGTCTCTCCGTCCGCGCCCCGCCCAGGCTGCTGCCGCCGGGCGGGCGGCGGCGGCGGCAGCCCGAGGCTCAAGCCGGGGCCCACAGACGCCTCCGCTGCCACGGAGGAAGGCGGGCCATCGTCGTCGTCGTCGTCCTCTTCCTCCTCCTCCTCTTCCTTCTTCTCCCCTTTACTCTCCTCCCGTCCCTCTCCTTTCCTCCCCTCCTCCCCTTCTCCCCCTTCCCCTGTCTCCCTCCGTCCCCTCCTCCCCCGTCTCTCTTCTTCCACTCTCTCTCAGTCGTTACCTTCGCTCTTTCCGCCTTTCTCTTGAGCTTCCATTCGCGTGTTGTTGTGCGCGTTTGGCTCAACATACTTGTAAGATGTAGAATTCTGGTGGTATATTTGCCTCCATCTGCCAGCGCCCGCGCAACCATAGCCGTTTCAGGCCGGGGCTGGCTTACCCCGTTTCCCCCCGCTCTCTATCGTTACCAACCCGTAACATACTGTTTCTCCTCCCGTTCCCCTCTTTTTTGGCTTCGGGCGCTATTCAGTGACGTGTACGGTGCAACTTGAGACAACTGGGACGTGCTGGAAACAGACGGGTCAGCATCTTCGTGCATTTCAGTGGCAGCGGAGCGAGTTACGGTCCACGAGACTTCGCTACCATTGGGTGACGATGGGGACGGAGCTGGAGATCAGCGCGGCGGCGGCGGGAGGGATCGAAGACCGCTCCCAGAATATGATGGATCGGACCCCGACGTGAAATACAAACGGTGGAAATAGCTTACCTTGTGGAGCAGCACGACGGACATTCCGAAGGCGAAATGGGGAACAACATTGCCCATGCGAGTTATCGGGCACGGCCAAGGAGGCGATCTCTGACAAGGAGCCCGGGGACATCGTCGGTGAGAGCGGCCTGGACAACATCCTGAGCATCCTTGACGAAACGTTCGCCCCGTGCCTAGAGCAGACGATTCCGCGTGCGTTTGAGAAGGCGATGTACACAGGCTTTCGTGAGAAAGGCCAGAACATGTTGGTTTGCACCCTGGCAGCGGTGAGTCGGTTCAATGTGTTGAAACGTGAGGGGATACATTTACAGCCCGAGGCAAGAGGGTACAGTATGATGAGGCGCGCCAAAATCGGCGACACATATGAGTACATGATCAAGACGTGTGGTTGACGGCCGTTAGCTTCACCGAGACCGGGGCGATGAAGGCGCTGCGCAAGTTGGACAAGGTCATGGTCGACAAGGGCGGCAAACAGTTTTTCGCCGATGGCGAGGGGCATCAGGGCAACGCCGAGGAGAGCTACCCGGTCATGGACTCAGAGGTGGAACGACGGCGACCCAGAGCACATCTACGTCATGTAAGATGATTTGTGGGAGGTGCACGGTGAGGCAGACGTCGCGACGGCCCTGGCATCATGTCAGATGTATCGCCAGTCCCGGAAGCTCGAGAGTAGCAATCGAGGCTACCGCAAGGGCGGCGGCAGGTTCGGCGGCAAGGGTGCGCACGGAGGAATAGATGGAGCCCAGCCGCCACCCGTGGCACGTTTCGGAGCCAGCGCGCGCTGCAAGATCCGGGTGCGCTTTGACGTGATCAAGCTGCGGACCAAGTGCGCGCGGTGTGGTCAAGTGGGCCACTGGGTCAAGGGGTTTTCCGACCCGCCCGACGCTCGTGGCGCAGCAGCTGCGGCGGGCGGTGGAAAACCTAAGACGGGCTTCTTCATTTCCGTGGCGATGCACGAGCCGGAGGAAGCTGCGAAGTCGGCGGCCTCGAGCGAGCCCGCGGGCTCGGGGGCGCAGGGGTTTTCCATGAAATTGAGTCGAAGTGCATGTGCCGCTTTCATCTAGATCAATCGGGAGACCTGCAGGCCCTCGGAGAGCCTCATCGGGCACGTCTACGCCGGAAGGTTCAGATCCTGAGGGTGTTCGGAGCCATCGACGGTGAGGTCGAGTCGGGTCCATTCTTGGAGTGCCTTTTTCCAGAGCGAGGGGCCTCTTGGATTCCGACGAGATTGCGGGCGACGATCGACCAGTCCGAGCGGCAGTTGCGAGGCGTCGCATTCACGGTGTGGGCTGACCTTGGGGGGTGGGGGTGCCTCGGTTGACGCCGCGGCTCAGTCGGGCATGATCGGAGTGGGGGCGCCCAAGCAACTGGAGGGTGCTCCGCGCGAGTGGGGGTTGCGGGTGCAGTGGATCAACGAGCCAGCCCGGGCCCAAGGGGTCGGAGGTCGAGAAGGCGGTGGGAGTAGTATTGGTGCCACTCGGACATGGGGGGCCCCGCGGCCCCCTGGAGCTCACTTTGGTGGAGGGAGACGTTCCGATGATGCTTGCAGTCGAGACTCTTCGTGAGTTTCTGTCCCGTGTAGTTCTGGTTGAGATGAAGTTAGTGCCGGGGCTGGTGGCCGTGAGAGAGATCGACGCTGGGCGCGCGGCAGTGTCGGTAGTTCAGTTTCGCCCCGAGGGATGGAGTGTGCCGCCGGGGGGCTGCGGGCTCAAGACCGAGGATTGCACTGCCGGCGGCCGCTTGAGTCAAGGCGACACCCGCGGTGCTACTCAGGAGAGCTATGTTTCCAGCCATTCCGCATGTTCGCGAAGTTCAGGCGTCCGTGGACCGAGCCAGGGCCTCCGGCGCGGCGAGCGCGGGTGCGCGTCGTCTCGGCGGTTGTGCTCCTGGCATCGGCGTGGCCGCTTGTGGGGCTGTTCTACGCGCTGCGCCCCGGGGCGCGCTTCGGCTGGGCGACCGGCGAGGAGGAGAGCGAGCAGGAGGCTCTCGCGAGCTCAGTCAGGCACCGACGGCGCCAGCGCTCGCAAACAGCGTTGTCCGGGATCGCGAGAACGACTTCATTGGGGGCCTGGGGTCCACTTCCGTCCAACCGCTCAGAGGGGCCAGTGTACTACCCGGAGTGGAAGTCTGTCTACTGCCTGTGCAAGGGAGCCCGCGGGGCCAAGAAGTGGGCCCAACGGCGCTGCGTGACGAGCTCAGCTCAGGACAGGCGCGGCGAGTGCTGCCGCGAGTGCCAGAAGGGAGAGTGTCAGACCATGGAGTGGGAAGTGCTGCCGGAGAATCGGAAGCTCTGGCAGTGGGCCCCTGGCTATCCCCTGGACCGATCGCGCGGCCAGTTTCCAAAGACGGCGTTCGAATGCCGCCGCCCCCTGCGCGCGGCGAAGGGCATAGGCGGCGTGGTGGCGGCGATGCCGTGCGCGACTTGCGGGGCGCCCTGGAGAAAGGGCCCCGCGGCGGAAATGGTTCTGGCCAAGGACGAGGCGAAGGCGCTCGAGAGGCCGGGGGCGGAGAGCCGCGACGAGCTCGGGATGCTCAACCAGAGGCCGAGGAGGGGCCCGGTCAATTCGCCGCAGGGGTCCCAGGAGGGGCTTGTGACCATCAGGGAGCGCGCGATTTCGGCGGAGAGCATGCCTGCCCCGCCAGACCGGGGGCGCGCGCGGAGCAAGGATCTCTTGGAGTGCGACCGAGCAGGAGGATGGCGGTCGGGGGGCCGGCGATCGACCGTGGTGTCCTAAGAGCTGGCAGCATGGCGAGGTGGAAGCATCTGGGCGTGAGTGATGATGGGGCCTCCAGCGACGGAGTTGCCGTGATCACCAACGAGGAGCAATTCATGAGGGCCCGAACTACGCAGCGTGATCTCGTCTACGCCGAGGGCGCCATGTGGTGGAAGCTGGAGCAGGGCGTGTTCCAGGGGCGGGCCGGGGGCCCGCCCAGCAAGCTGGGCGACCAGGTGATCCTGGTGAATTGGGAGATCGAGGACAATTTGATTTTCCTGGACGAAGACAGGTAGGGCGTGCCACGCGCAGCCCTGTCGAAGCTTCGTCAAGAGTGTGATGTCCAGTCTGCCGAGGTGCTCTGCATGCCGCGGGTGTCCGAGGTGCTGCAGGCGCAGGGCCGCGGCGGTGGGCTGGCGTGTGACCTCGAGACTGGATGGAACTTCGATTGAGCCCAAGGTAGGTCCTGCGACTAGGCCCCATCTTACGGGGGGAACTCCGCCGCGTGGCCCCCGCAGCCCCGATGGAGTGGAACTGACCGCGCATGGGCCCCAAGAAGGCGACGGCCTATCTGGGTGGTGGACTGCAGCGCCTTCGTTTCACGATCAATATGCCCGCAGAGCCGCATGCGCGGGGCCGTTATTTCCTGTCTGAGCATCCGAGGACTGCGGAGAGCCTCCAGGAGCCGGAGGTGAATGCACTTGCAGCGCTGGGTGGAATTCACGTGATCTATGCTGACCAGTGTCGGCTTGGGCTGAAGGGGGCCGAGGGTAGGGCGTGGAAGAAGCCGACAGTGTTCATCGCGAGCTCCAGCTACATCGCCACCGAGCTGGAGGAACTATGCCGAGGATATCATGAACATGAAGGGCTGACCAATGGCAAGGCGCACTCTGCTGAGCAATATCCGCTAGGGTTGCATCGCCCGGGGGCTCTGTCGGCAGCTCGGAGAAGATGGGCGCCGCTGCGTCGTGTTCGATGGGGCCTGCGCAGCGGATGAGGGGGGAGGGGGGAACGAGGAGGTGGGCCCTGCGGACGAGGACGCGGGGGCGCCCGAGGAGGAACCGCAGGGCGAGGGCGAGCTCGCTGAGGGCCCCGAGCCCGCCGAGACAGAAGAAGCGGACCCGTGGCCTCCACGAGAAGTGGGCTCGCCCGAGTCGCTTGGACTTCTGCCGTGCCTTTTGCCTTGGAAGAGTGCGTCGCCGTTTGTTTGGGTGGGCCACTACCCAGTTCTAGTGCGACGTATGCAGTGCGCGTGTCCGTCCGAGGCGTCGACGGGTGGGGGCTATTCCAAAGTCGCGCCAGATGAATCGCGTCGTCAGCGTCGACCTGATCTGCATCGAGGAGGGCAGCCGCAAGAACGCGCCGTGTCTCCACGTCAGGGACTGGGGTGCCCAAGTACTCGATGTTCCAACGAGTGCCGAAGGGAGACCAGACTCTATAGAATGTGTGGCTGGCGTCCTGCCGGTGCTGGCCACGGGTGCTCGGGCCCCCAGAGATCCTGGTGGTGGACGAGGGCGAGGAATTTGCGGGGGCCTTCGCTGACCGAGCGGCGTAGGAGGGCAGCTTGATGTCCGCCATCGACGCCAGGGCTCCGTGTAAGGACGCGAAGACCGAGAGGGCTTTGAGGAC